TTCCCTGCCAGGAACTGTCTGGGTCCTCGAGATCAAGCAGGGATCCAAGCAAAGTCCTTGTCTTCACGTAGCATCGCTTGAGTCCAGGAGACAGACAATAAAAAATGGGTGGCTGGGCAGCTATCGGGGCTTTGACAAGAAAGCCACGTTTGGGGATAGCAGGACAAAGAGATGGCCTTTTTACATAAGAGGGTAAGCAAGGACGTTGCTGCAAGATGTCACCTGATCAGAGACCTATAGAAGGGAGGGAGCAGGCACGCAAGAGCTGGAGGAAGGAACGTCCTGCACACCATGGTCAAGGCGGGATGTCCTGGGGCTGGCCAACCCGCATTGCAGCCGGGGTGGGAGGGAGAAATGAGTGAGGGAAAATGGGGGGAGATGAGCTTGGGCCGGGCTGGGCAACTCGTCTAATTTGGCTTCTGTTCTAAGTGGAGAGAGAGCCACATGAGGGCCGCAAGCAGAAGAGACGTTTTAGAGAACCCCTCTGGCTGTCATGTGAGAATGGTGATCCCGACTAGCTGCTGGCCCAGGGCCATCACTGCAAAGGCTGTGAGAAGGACCGGGTGCCAGGGGTACAAACACCGCACCGTGAACAACGCATGGTGACAGGTGGTCAGGGCAGCACTCCCCCAGTTGTCCTCAGCCACTGCATCACAGGCATCATGGTGGGAAAAGGGCTTGCTGTGCTATAAACGCAGGAGGGGCAGGATGCAGCGATGCTAAATGACTCTGACTCTAACACATGGCACAGTTGAGACTGCCAGAAGGGGACAAGAGAGGGGACCTGTCCCCTCCACTGGCATGCTCAGGCACTTTCTTGAGGACCCCATTTGGGAAATGCTGCATACGTCTGCACCCTGAGCCCATCGCTCAGCCTCTGGACACTAGCAATGGGGTACATAGAGGCAATTTTTCCAAGCGAGCTTCAGAAACATCAGGGCAACAGAATCCAACAGACCTTTCATGGGAAAAGCACAATTTTTCTGAAGGCTTTACAGGGCCACAAGAGAAATGCAAATTAAAACTACACTGAAATACTATCTCTCACCTATGAGATGGACAAAAATGCAAAAGCCTGTCAACACGTTCTGTTGACAAAGCCATGGGAAAAGGAACACTCATCTGATAATGATGGGAATGCAAAATGGTGCAAGCCCCAGGGAGGGCAATTTGGCAATATCCAGTAATACGACAGATACATGCACACTTTCAGAAATGTAGCCTGAGAGAGACACACACAACACGAGGTCCCTCCCTCTCCCTCTCTCTCTCTCTCTCTCTCTCTCTCTCTCTCTCTCTCTCTCTCTCTCTCTCCTGCGTATGCCTTCTGGCATTAAAAACAGGACCAGCAAATGGTGTAATGGTTACATAGCTGAACTCCCACATCCAGCCGCAGTTTGGGTCTCAGACCCGGAGGTTCGAAATTCACACTAGGTGCATTTGCGTGCATGCATGCATGCCAAAATCCCAAGATGAGAATGGAGAGGGGACTGTGGCCTGGTCATCTCCCTGGGGGCTGATTTCTCGCTTTCTGTCTCTCTGTCTCTCCAGCGAACACACACACTCCAGAGGAAAAAATCTCTCTAAAAACAATAATAATAATAATAATAATGATAGAGATGATGCTGTTGCTGCGGATGCGGATGCAGTGAGAGTCTGGGGGTGGGGTAGGAGCACGAATGAACCCTGACTGGCTGATGTGCGGTTAAGATGGCCAAAGGTTCTGGTAGGTGTCACTTTCCTACTCTCTCTACTTCTGTTGGTTTGACATTTTACATCATTGAAAGTTCCTGCACACGTGTGCACATGCACAACATATTCTAGCCTCAACCCAAAGAACATACACATGGCCAGCTGCCGTCTGCAAAAATTAACAACATATAGAGAGTTTAAAAACTACAAAAGGTTCTTTTTTCCTCACTTGGACCCAAGCATAATGATGGATTTCCTTGCTAGGCAGGAAATTCACCAAGATAAACAAGTCAAGTTTAAAATGTTAAAAGCAGCCAAACTCCTGGTGAGGTGCTCTGGAAAAGAATACACTGGATATTCTGGGAAGCAAGAACAGCAGGGCATTTTCTGGAGAAAAATCTAGGGCCACTGCCGATGATCACGCTGGGAGTAAACTGAAGAAGCTTCGCATCCGTGCAGCGGCTCAGGCATTACCCACGCCCACCGTGGGGTTTGCACGGTAGAGCTGGGCTAATGACACGTCCAGAGGTTTGAATAAGCACTTCCAGAATGTCTCGATGAATACATCTTTTCGTGTTTAACTTGATCCAAACATAAAAGCCTAATCTTTAATACCAGGAAAATGATGAGGCAGTTTTCATCTCAGAGCTTGTGGAACTCAGAGACAGGCTACCAGGTTATTTTTCACTTAGGAAGAATTTTAAGAACGGCATAGGTGCTTAGGTTTCCTGTTCTTCCTGTAGGGTTTCGTCACAGAAGAAACACGGACAGTACGGCATCACCAGAGCAGGGGCAACGTGCTGGCCAGCTCGGTCTGGAAGCTCAGCGGCCCCTTGGCAAGGCACACTGCCAGATGGCCCCTCGGGACCAAGGCCAGGTCTGGAGCCACCACTGCTACTCTGGCCTCCTGGGGAACAGCAGGCATCCCCATGAGCACTGGCAGGCATGAGGAGCCTCCCTTGGCAAGGGTCAAGTTCACGGTTACCACTCCCCAAACAGGGGTCTTGCCAAGGAAAGGAGACACAGAATACAACCAGCACTGGCCCTCCTCTCTCTGCCAGGAGCACAACGCAGCCTCCATTCTGGCTGCAGGTGGACAGCAAAACCCTGCCTGTCCTGGCTCCTGCTTTCCCAGGCCACATACCTGGGGAAGCAGGCCACCCTTCCTGTTCTTAACATGAGTACAGCTATGAGAGATGGAGTTCCTCCCCGGCAAGGCCCAGGGGAAGGGGTTTTCTTGGTCACTACCATATTTTGTTTACCAATTCATTTGTCTTCAGTTCACACCACAATATAACTTTGTCTTCAAATACAGAAATGAATTTGCCAGAATGATGGAGTCCAGGCAAAGGGACAGGTGCTGGGCCCAGAGAGCTCACCTTTCTTTTGTGTCTACGTGACCTTAACAAAAAACATGTTCCAATGAATCCTGGACCAGCCCAATCCTGGATGATCAGGAGAGTCGATCTCGACCCAGCGCTAAACAACAGGGTTCAACGTGCCCGTCACTACCCTTTACAGGAGGCTGAGACCACCACGTCAGGCCCACATTCACATTCGCTTCCGGCCTCCCCACCGAGTGCTGCTACAACAGGATGGACACGCTGTGACTCACACACAGACACAAAGGACAGGCGTGCTGCTCACCCCAGCAAGAGCTGTCCCCAATGGGCCCCTGACATTTGCTGCAGGCTGACTATGCTCCCGGCGCTGTGGCCTGTGGATGACCGCTGCTGTGGACTGCATGTTTCTGCCCCTCCCCACAAGTATTACATTGAAGCCTGACCCCAGTGGGACGATATTTGGAGGCGGGACCTTTGGGAGGTAATTCATTTTAGATGAGGACCTAGGGTGGGTGCTCTGTGATGGCATTCGTGTCCTTATAAGAAGGGGAAGAGAGACTAGCATTCTCTCTCCCAGTCATGTGAGGACACAGTGACAAGGCGGCCATCTGCGTGCTGGGAATCAGGCCCTCCCGGGGAACTGAACCTTGCAGCCTCCAGAACTGTGAGAAACGAAGTCTGCTGTTTAAGACACCCAGTCTGTGGCATTTGGTCACAGCAGGCCAAGCCAACTGGCACAATCGCCACGTACAGATGAGGGAAGTAGGCCGAGAAGCATGCGACACGTGCCCAAGGCCGGCGAGGGAGGCCAGGCTCTGAGCCGAGACAGAGCGGCTCTCGGCCAACAAGCACCTTTTCTTAAGACGAGTAACTCTTTCAGACTGATGCTATCCCCATTGTGATATGCCCCTCTAGCTCATAACTCTGCTGACCTGGTAACTACTCCTCAGAAATCCACCAGCGAAGGAGACCAGCAGTTAGCGTAATGGCTATGTCGCTAGACTCTGATGTAGTTGACTGTGGTTCGCGTCCTGGACCCGGTGGCTTAAACTCACGCTCGGCGCGTGTGCGTGCGTGCCCAAGATCCCGAGAGGAGAATGGAGGAGAAGGGATTGCAGCATGACCATCCCCCCTGGGGGGTGATTTCTCGCTTTCTGTCTCTATGTCTCTCTCTGTCTGTCTGATGAGCGCACACGCCCTACAGCGAAAACCTCTCCGAAAAGAAAAGAAAAGAAATCCACCGGTGAAGTCGCAGTAGCAGTGAAGTCCTAGTTGTAAAGACACTGTCCGACGGGACAGTGTGCAACGGTGGCAATTATTGCCTGCACTGCCCGATGCAGCGGCCACGAGCTTCATGGTTCCCAATGGGGAACAAGTGTCCCTAGGGCATGCCTGGCGATATCTGGAGATAATCTGGTTGGCACAGTAGAGAGTGCTACAGGTACCTCGTGGGCGGAGGTCGGCCCTGCTGCTCGACACCCTAGAGTGCACAGGACAGCCCAGCTATGGAGCATTACCGGGTCCCAAAGGTCACTAGTGACAGGGTGGAGAAAATGTGCACCAGCCTTGTGTGAGTGCTACACACTTCAGTCGTGGCTACTGAGATGGGGGGCTACAATTTTCATTTTCTTTTCCTTTATTCATTTACATGTGAATTTTAGAATAGAAAATGTACTAGAACCAAGCTAACGAAAAGTCCGATTTAAACGTAAGCAGCCATGTGTGTCACAGCACAGCTGTAGAGAGCACGCATCGACACAAAAGTAAAGGCGCTCCCATTTAGAAGAGTGGAGTATCTGCAAGGGGAAGAGAGACTCCAATGCGTAGGACCGAGAGATAATGAGCATAGACAGAGACAGAGAAGCGAAGGTCGCAAAGCTCCCAGACTCGTGTCCAGGTACCGAATGGGTCAGGAAGAGAGAGAGTCACAGGAAAATGCCCCATCTATGAGCACGGGCAACTCACTCTTGCAGGGTCTCCACCCCCTTTTCTTTGTACTGCAGTTCCTGCTTCATCTGGGTCAGCTCTCGTTTTAATCTGGAAAGCTAAAGACAAATGTCATTTTTTTTTTTCCAAAACCAAGCTGTGAAGAGTGATCTCTACAGTTGTTATTAGCACTGTCGTCCAGGTTTCTGATTAGCTTGCAATCCAGCGGGTCATCTGTTTGCCCCTGAACTTCCACGTACACGCATGAACCAGCCATTGAAGAACTGCCTTGCTTACATGCAAAAATCTCAGGCCAGATCTGACAGGTTGCTACCCAAGTGGGGCACTGGCAGCTCTTTCCTTCTTCGAGGCAAGGATTTCAGTGTTACAATTAGCAGTCACTGCGATGCGCTCTCCTCCTCCCGTGGGCAGTCTACTCAGGGTGCCACTTGTGCAGCTTTGTTTCTGAAAGCCTGAGCCCAATCTCAGACTCTCTGAAACTTAATCGCCTGGAGCTGGAACGCCTTTTTAAACAGACTCTGGGACCCACTCCAGGTCTACGTCAAAACATGGGGTGGGCCAGGGGCTGACACTGTGAGCCAACTCCCGGAGGTGCTTTGCTTAGGTATCTAAAACTTGAGAACTACCATGCTAAAAGATACGCCTGGTTCAGGGAACACCACACCGGAAGAGGAGGCTTCATGGCCAAGAGGATTTCCATGCTTTGTCACAAATGCAACACATGACCCCTTCCCAGACAAGGCCCTCAAACAAGGTGGCACGTAAGTAATGCAGGCGTCACCAGGGCTGGAGCATCAGATCCCTTCTGGTCAGACGCCCTACAGGAGCCTCCCTCTACAACTAGTCAACCAGGACAGGACAGCCCCGCTGAGGGCCGTGACTGCTTGCTGCCGATCCAGGGAAACAGCCTCGAGGTCACCAAATCAGGTGACCTGGTGAGTCCACCCCATGGAACACACACAGGGATACGGGCTACTTTTTGTCTGATGAGCTAAGGCTTAAAAAATAAACCTCTTCTTTGCTATCAATAAAAGTGGAGGGTAAGGGACCAGCAGATAGCTCAATGGCTAGCTATTGTAGCTGGACTCCCACGTAGTCGACCGCAGTTAGAGTCCGGACCCGGTGGCTTAAACTCACGCTGGGCGCGTGTGCGTGCGTGCCCAAGATCCCGAGAGGAGAATGGAGGAGACAAGATTGCAGCATGGCCATCACCCCCTGGGGATGATTTCTTGCTTTCTGTCTCTCTGTCTCTGTCTTTCTGGCGAGCACACGCACCCTATAGCAAAAAAATAAATAAATAAAAATCAACTTGAAAAAAAAGTGGAGGGTAAAACAAAATACAGAAAGAATCCATGAAATCAAAAATCATAGGAAAACACGAGTGTTTCCACAATGACCTCTGTAAAGTGCACCATGATACGCACTGTTGCATAAAGATACACACGGCCCTTCTAGTTGCAAACACGCTGCTTTTACTCACCCTGTCCCGACGACTGGCTATCTCTGCTTTAATTTGGTGTGGGTCGTACTTTGTATTTGTCGAATATCCAGAGAAAGCTAAAGAGAAGGAAAATATTTTATTTTATAATGGAGCCTTCAAAATACATAAAGGCACATAAGGAACTTCTGATTCACTATATTAAATATTTGTGACTCTCCAATTTACAAGTGGGCACTGGCTCCCAGAGAATGAACTCTTCACAACCTCGGGTCATCTTGATGCTCAATTTCAGCATGACCCCGCATACTAAAGTACATGACTACAGGTAAATCAAAGCTCTGTTTTCTTTGACTACAAACTATTAGGGTTAAAAGCCATATACCCCCGGAGGAAAGAGGTCCAATTAAGGTGTAGCAAGCTGAACTTAGTGTGTGAGTAGCACACTGTACGAATCCATTTACATTATTTAAAAGACACTCACGGACGCCACTGGCAAGACAGAGTGAAAGTGAACTGGTTATTCTCGCAGTGGTCGCATTATAAATGATTTTTAAATTGTCTTCACATTTATTGTTTATTTTCCAGATGAACAGTTTTTGAAAGAAGAAAGAAAATAATTAAAGGTGGGTAAAATAAAAGACAACTTTCCAGTTACTTGTCAGGATCTGGTAGGCTTGAGGAAAGGCTGTGGTCTTGAGTAGCATGACCCTCGGAAACTGATGGGGGGCGCTCACACTTTGATTCCAACGGTTTGTTTCTGGAGGATGTTTAGCCAAAATACATCAGGTAGCTCGATGCTTCATTCAACAGCGCGGCGCACCCGAGTTCAACACTTTTCACAAACACAGCATCATCATTACGACCAGCCAGTACGAGCCACAAAGCTGCACACGTGCTAGGCTCAGCGGCCAGTGTCTCTCCGCACAGAGGGCCACAAGCCTTTCCCAGCGTTTCGGGGGCTGGAGCAGCTACGGGCTGTTTCTAATTCCTACCACGCCCTCCGCCTCCCGAGCTGGCTTTTTCTCAGTGCTTGCCTTCTGAAGCCATGGGCCTTCGCACTACTTCGGCTTCTGTCCTCTTCCTTAGCTGGGGGGATGCTCCTTGCTCTTCCTCCATGAACCACTCCGCCCTAGGGCCATCTGCTTCTCCGTTATCATCATTAACATCACCTGCTCAGAAGGACCATGGCAACGCCAGTGCCCTTTCTTTGACTCCTCCCATCCGGGTAGAAAGGCTGACTGGCGTTCAAATAACCTAGGTGCCAATGACCAGAAACTCATTCAAGATCACTTCCCAACTTTATGTTGAAAAGGGGTGGCTCAAAGCCATCAGGTGGCTTTAACAGCAACATCAGAAAGCCTAAATTAGAACCACATAAAAAAGGAATTTTTAAAAAATTACCAGCAGGCACATGCACTCACCAGAGAGAGAGAGAGAGAGAGAGAGAGAGAGAGAGGAGAGA